CACAACAACAAGGTCAAATCCCACCCCAGCACAGGTTGTTTATTAAGTCTCACTGAAGGGTATCCAAACGTAACTGTGCAGATGATGTCATTGCTAATTGTGGACACTATTTTGTATAATTGTCAACTTTTCCACCCAACAGAAATTCTTGGGTGAGAAAGCAGCTTGATCTCTGAGCAGATGTCCTGCAGAATCTCATTACCTGGTAAACATGGTAAAACATAGTAAGGACACGGGATGGTTAGGGTTGTGTATCAACATGCCAGGGCGTGGTGCTCAGAGAGTTGGCAAGTGTCATGTAACCGTCCTCTATTTTGTGATCTGATGTGAACAGTCAGTTCATTAGAAAGGTTTCCTTGGGTGTATGGGACTGCACCCAATATATATGGGTGTCCTGGAAAAGCTCCCCCTTGCTGGTTCCTGCATCTGACTCCTCTTCCTCTGGCGTCTGCCCATCTGCCTATTATGGTTTCATCTGCCTCTGCAAACACATGAGAACCCTCCAGTGTGCCGCCTGACCCATGGCAGGATTTGGGACTTGGCAGCCTCTACAGCTGTGTGAGTCATTTCCTTGAAGTAACTATCAACTCATGTTTGTAGGTTTTGCTTCTCTAGAGTCCAATCTTAAACATCTAATACCAGGAGTGGTTCTAGAGAAGCAAAATGGTTAGGGTGAAGTAGTCCTAAATTGGTTCTCAAGTCTCGCTAATTTCAAAGTGCTGATGGCTCTACCTTCCTTCAGTAGTAAAAAGGGCACTTCCAATCCATGGCATGAGGTGACAACAGAAATACACAAAATATCACACCACCGCTGAATCAGATATTCGTGAGAGACCAGGCTCTGTGTAGTCTCATATACTGGACACTTTTCTACAATTTTGTCAGAATGAGAAGTATAAAGAAGCAGGTTGGTTGCTCCTATTTTTGATCAGCAAAGTGATAAAAGAAAGGGATGAGGTCATAACTCAAGCACAAACCTGCAATTTGTTGTTACTTGTGCTCTGAAAGAAAGCCTATTTCTTGTAGTAAAAGTGCTGAAATTGTCAAAAACAGTGGATGAATGACAATGCTAATTGAATTTCCAAACTTGAATGGAATCTGGGGTTAAAATGACAATCAGGAAACTGGGGATGCTGAGCCCCTAAATTCCACTGAATTGCTCCTGCCAGCAGAACTAGCCCTCCTACTCTCATTTGAAGAGATTATTCCATCTCTGCTAAAAACGTAAAAAAGTTACTCCTTCTATCCTCGTCTGATGAGACCCACCCAGCTGTACCTCAAGAGTCTTTTTTTGACATGGAAAGATTGAGGAGTTGAGGACTCATGGAAAGAGAAAGGCTGTGTGCTGGCAGCCAGGAGACTGGCTTCCAGAATATGCCCTGTGGTTATTTAAATGATTATACATCCCTGTGTGGTTGGGTTTTTTTTGTTTTGTTTTGTTTGCCTGTTTGTGTTGGTTTTGTTTTTGTACATCATAGGAAAAAAAAAAAGAGGGGGATTTTCTTTTTTTTTCTTTTAATTTTATTATTATTTTTTTAAATGTTTTATTGTGAGTTATATGATAGTTTACATGAGAGAACCTCAGTTCCATATTCATTCCATCGTATATCATTACATTGCCATGGTTCCAATCCCCTCCATGCATCGTCTTCCTACCAAAGGGCATATCCTAAAAGCCCGTGCTCTACACTCCCCCCTACCACCTCAGTCTTCGGCCCACAGTTCCTCTCCCTCTCTGGATCCAAAGTCCCCAGCCGCTACATCTCTCCATGTCATCATCTCTGTCTCCATCTGAGGCATCCCCAGTTCACTGGGTGGGGTCTTGTTCTCGGCTCTTATCCGTTGGCGGTCCCAGAGACCTCCGCTCCTAGACTGGAGAAATAATCGCTCTGTTCCTTGCTACAAAACATCTACCCTTGCATTTCCAACACTCACAATCCGTCTTGATAACCATTATTCACTACAGTATCGCACGTTACCCATCTGTATTTCATTTCATCAGCTCCACCTAGACAAATTGGATAGTACTCACTGGTGACTCTGCCTTCCTCCATGCCCCCTAGCTCTAGGTTCCCTCTTGAAAGCTTGTAAGCCAGTTACTTCTTGCCTTTGTAGTCCCTCCCTCCCCATTTGGGTATCCAATGTCCAAGTTGCCCCTCTCTGTCTACTCTGTGTGTGGAGGGGGTGGGGATGTTTCTTGCTGTAAGAATTTGTTGCCTCTTTTGTGTCACTGCATTCGTATGCATAGGTTAAGTTCATCAGCTTGGATCAGCTCAATCTTCTCCCCCCCCCCCCCCCCCACCCCCAGGGGGGATTTTCTTGATAAAAGAACTATCTATGATGGTTCTGGGGGGAGGAGGAAATGATCCATGCACACGTTGATGTGCGTGGCAGGACAGACATTACAACCAGAGGGAGGTTGGCAGAGGAAAGATGGGGTGGTGGGAGACACCAGGAAGAATGCGGGGTTTATGTGAATAGAGGTCAATGCTGTGAACTGTTGGTGCAGGGAGGGGATTGCAACCATGTAGTGAAGGAAAGTACCTGATTTGTTGGATGTAAAACTGATGATCTGCTCTGTAAACCTGCACTCAATTCACAATACAAAGTTAAAAAAAGAAGAAAACAGTAAGAATCTTTGTCAGAGATATCACGGGCATGACCTGCGACATCGCCTAAGGCAGCTGACTTCAATAACATTGCTGAAGGTCCCCCAGACCCACCCCCACCAACCATTTTAGCACCTAAACCTATCCCAGCAAGGCCCAAGAGGTAAAGCACAAAGTGTGACCCCGGAAGAGGTACACCTCACTTGGTGAGAATTTCTGGGTTTTTATAATATACACAAAGAGAACCCTGGGGGATATGTGTGGAAATAGCTGGTTAGGGTATAAGAGAATAATGCAAGAACATAGTGTTGGGTCAGTAGGAGTTTATTGACATGAGCCCAGTAAACACAGACCCTTCATTCAGTGTTTCCCTTGAGAGGTTAGAAAAGGGTCTAAAAGTTTCTTTGGTTGGTTCACTGAAGCGTGGATTAAGTGCTGACCTACACTAGGTCAAATTGAAATATCAGACCTGTCTTGGCGTACTGCAGAAAGAGTCTAAAGGCTTAGGAAATTTGGCATGGTAGAATGGATTCATCAGAACACACAGATCCTCCCATGGGAGTGACCCAAAGTCACATCTCTTACCACAATGGTGAGAAACAAATTTGCAACAGGAGCCCCAGCATCTCTGAAGGCTGCTGTAATTGGTTATTTTACGTCAGTCAGATTTGACGGTGGGAACTGCCCTAACTGAAGACACCTAACTGCAATGGGGTCCGCTGGACCCCACAGTGAACTGACCTTTCAAAGAATTAGCATAATTTTGTGAGTAACTACTTTGAACGGATTCTAAGTAGTTATTTTTAAATGCTTATCTTGGCTACAGAACAGGAAGTCCGCTGGTGGGGGAGGTCAGCTCCTGGGTTAGCATGGTGTTTCACCACTTCACAGGAACTTAAATGAAGAGAAATATTTCTAACACAGCTTGTGAAAATAACAAGGTACCAAGGCTGTTAGCCATTGACAATTTTGCAAATGATACATCTTTTGTCCCAAGAGTTTGTGCTCAGTGGAGTACATAGGAATCCTGTTCCTTTTGCTCCACAAAGAAATGATTAGCATTTGTTTCAGAATCTTGTCAAGGTTCCGCTTGGCTAACTTGTGGGATATTCAAGCATAAAAAGTTCTCTAAGTGATTTTCTGGGGAAATGTCTTCTGGCAGAGTCATGGAGTCCATTCTGGTGCCATGTTTTACTTTCCTGGTTCCCACCATCTTCTCATGAAATTGTGAGTCAGACTCACCCACTGGTACCTTAAGGGCCACCCAAGTCGTGGCTTCCAGTGTGTGTATGGTGCCTGCCTAGGGGAGCCTGCAAATAAACATCTTGTCCTCCTCCATTTTTCTCTTGTCTCCAGATCGACAGAAGTCTGCTAATGAAGGAAGACACCAACTCCCCCTGTGTCAAGCCTGCAGGAACTGTGGATGATGGGGTTGATGGGGTGTTAGAACTGCACTATGGCCTTACCATTTTGACTGAATTGTCCACACTCATTTTCCACTAACCATATAGAACTTAGTCTCCTTAGCGTATAGACAGCAGGGCTATAGCCTTCTTTCCCTGAACTTATTTCTGTTCTAAGCTCTTCCCTTTAAAAACCCCACCTGGAACCTAAAAATGAGTTTGTAGGTCACATATGCAGTGCCTCTACGCAATGAGTCAGAACCGACTCGACAGCACTTAACAACAACAGTCATGGATATATTTATAGCACTTAACAAGAACAACCCAACATTGGGTTTGAGAGTCCAGAGACCATGTGTGTAACCCTAAGTTCTTCCATTTGCTTCCAATACGGGGTCGTGGACACACGTTCTGATCCCTCTGTAACTAAAAGTCTTCATCCATTGAGTGGAATAAAACTACCTGGTCCCTCCTGAGGACAATGACTTTACAGGTTGTAAGGTGCCCTGGTAGCGTAGTGGTTACAAATTGGGCTGTGAACCGCAAAGTCAGCAATTCGAAACTACCAGCTGTTCCACAGGAGAAAGATAAGGCGGTCTGCTCCTATAAAGATTTACGGCCTCGGAAACCCTGTACAGGATCGCTATGAGTCGGAAGCGACTCCACGGCACATAACCACCACCACCAAGGTGCTTCTGGTTACTCAAAGGAAAGGTGTTAGGCAAGCCTTTATTGTCTTCAGTATCAAGACCAAGTTCACAGGGAGCATAGGTTCCTAATCATTCTATTGCTTTGTGCTATAGACCCACAGTGACCTTTTCCCATTCATCTTCCTCAGCCTCCTGGGAACTCTTTCAAAGGACATTGTGTGGTGACATACAAAAGTGGTCACAAAATGACAGTTACCTGGGGTTTCTCTTCACTGTACAAATAGTCCCAACAAGCCAAGTCCCTCTACCAAGGGAGCTTCCATATAATAAATACCCCTTTAGAATAAAATCCCGTCCCTCGGAGCATATTCCATCGGCTTCCTCTGTTCCTGCTTGCGCTGGTATCTGGCCCTCTGGTAGAAAATGATGATGGCCACAGAAACTATATTTAGAAGAATGACCAGCAGTAAAAGCCAAAAGGAGTATCCATAGCTGTGGGTCCCTCCAGTATGGACAATTGTTGGGTAGAGAGCCTGAGACAGCGTCTTTGAGAATTGGTTGAACTGCGTGTTCCCCACAAATAGGAGCATGGCGAGGAGAATAAAGGATGCTGAAAAGAAGATGAAGTTTCATAAACAACACAGCAGCACATTGATTTCATGGCGTTTAGTTTCTTTACAAGGAGCCCTAGTGGGTTAGGTATTGCCTGATCAAACCCACCAGTCACTCCATGGGGGTAAGATGAGGCTGTCTAGTCCTGTAAAGATTTACACTGTCAGAAACTATTTAGGGACCGGTCTGTAAAGATGTATAGCCTAGGAGACTATTTAGGGATTGGTCTGTAAAGACGTACAGTCTCGGAGACTATTTAGTGTCTCTATGAATCGGAATTGACTCGATGGCAGTGTGTGTTTAGTTACGGATCATCTGTACTATGGGTATTGACTGAATAGCTACATGGGAGTCTACACACTTTTAGTCATGACCCCAAACCCACTTGGAGGCTTGAGTTTCTCTCCATACACAGTAGGTAGCCACTGCCTGTGTTTAAGCAGGAAGGCTCTCCTCTCTGAACTCATTTTATGTTGTTAATTCGTTGTGTTTTGGGTGAAAGTTTACAGAGCAAATTAGTTTTCCATTTGACAATGTATATATATTTTCTGGTATGACACTGGCTACAACCCCCTCCATGTAACATCTCCCTTCCTGCTTCCTCCCTGGGTTCCCCCTTTCCACTCGGCCTGCCTCCCTACCCCACCTGCCCTGTGAGTTTTGTCCTGGGACAAACAGTGCTCTTTGGGTCTCGCATGGTTGACTGTTCTGAGGAACACTTTATAGGTCTGTCTGTTGTTTGGCTGAGAGGTGATTCCCAGGGGTGGGTTCAGTTCCAGGTTTGAAGGGTGTCTAAGGGCCACCCACAGTCTTGGGGGTTCCATCAGTCTCTAACCGACCAGTAAGTCTCATCTTTTTTATGATTTTGAATTCAGTTCTACATTTGTTTCTCATTTTATCCAGAACCTTCGGTGATCCCAGTTAGAGTGAAGGGCAGTGGAAGCCGGGCACCATCTAATTCTTCTGGTCTCAGGCTGGTGCAGACTTTGGTTCACACGGTCCTTTAGTTCTTTGGACTCGTTGTTTTCTCGAGTCTTTGACTTTCTTCACTCTTCTTCCCTCCAGATGGAAGAGATCAACGGCTGTATCTTTGCTAGGTATTAAGACCACAGAGGGGATGGAGAGTGTTGTCTTTGTGGACTATGTAATGCCAATTGACTTGACTGTCTCCCAAGAATGTGATCCTAAGCCCCAAAGCCCTCTGTGTGACTTTTTCTTTCAGTTTGAAACACAAGGTCGACAGTTCAAGATCACCAGTTGTTCCTCAGAAACCCTATACAGGGTCACTATGAGTTGTAACTGACTCAACGGCACTAACAACAATGACAGACATGGATATATTTATAGTACATACAAATATGTGCATTGTGTATATATCTTGTTGTTGTTGTGAAGTTGGTATGACACTGGCTGCAACCCCCTCCATGTAACATCTCCCTTCCTGCTTGGTAGTTAGCAGTTCAAAACTACCAGCCGCTCCACAGGAGAAAGACGAGGCTTTCTGCTCCCGTAAAGATTTACAGCCTTGGAAACCCTGTACAGGGTCGCTATGGGTCAGAACCGACTCGATGGCACATAACAACAACAACAAC